GGCCTGGAGTTGATTGGCCTTCAGCAATGACTGGCCTTGATGTGGTCTTACCATAGCTTGGGTTGTTAACTGCCTCTGAATAGAGCAGCTTATTTCTGGTATTCATACAGTCAATTTTGCCATCAATTGCACAAGTTGTTTTATTTATCCCATTTATTTGCTTGTGTTTAGAGTGTCTTTCTTGTCCTTAATGTCAATATCTTTCCTATCGATTTCACTCTTTAATGTAGTGATTTCGGATTTCAATTTGTCTACATTGCCTTTGTGCTTCTGCATTTCACTGTGGTATATTTTGATTTCATCATTCTTGTGTTCAAGGACCCCTATCATATCCCGCATGTCGCTCTCATACTTAGACTTGAAATCTTGCAGGTTCTCATTTAAATCCATGAACTTTTCACGCATATCTTCATCAAAACACATCAGTTTAGTGAACATACGAGCTAACGTGTCCTTATTATTCAAGCTATTGTCTGAGCTCTCTATATCAGTATAATCGTCTGATCGAGTTTTCTGTTTACTCATGACTTCACTCTGTATCACATGAGCTGGCACAGATCCACGTATGTATCTATACAGCAGGTACACATCAGAAGCGTACTTTTCTGGAACAGTTTTAAGTTGTCCCGATCGCTTTACTCGTTTGATAAGCATCCCTTCAGGAAAATCTGTACATTTGTCTTTCGCAACATTGTATATTGATAGTCTGATATTATTTAGGATGCCCTCATCATTATTGTACGCAACACATAGCTTTTGTTGACATGTTTGTCTGTCGTACTCACCAAGTAGTTCATCAAGTTCTCGAAGAATGACATGGTCGGGTGAGTCATGTTGTTCCTTCAGATCTTTCTACAGGACAGCACATCCACATTTATCCAAGAATTCGCAATTATTGTCATTCAGATTCACAACAGTGCTGTAGTATGTATCGCACTTTGTTTGGGTGTCATCGCTCTTGGCTTTATGTGGTTACATAACCCTTTCATATAGGAGCTCCAGAAAGCACGTCCGAACAGCTCGGCGTCCAGTACTACCAGTGGAAGGTTAAGCTAGTGGTGAGGGTTCCTTTCAAGGAATGAGTCACGTTTACCTGGTCACTGGTCACTGATCGATGACAGATCAAACATCCGCTTGAGCTGTGTGTTCCAGAATGCAAATATAGGTGCTATGATCTGGGGTGAAAGAACGGCTTCAAGGACGAATGATTATGGTTGATGGGAAATTTAATTGTGCGTGATACCAGGGTCACATCTGCAAACGTTTTTACCGTTTTCTCAACAGAATGTTCCCGGCATGCCATAGCAGCATGATAAGGCTGGTTGGTTGGTTGGTTGGTTGGTTGTTTAACGCCGTACTCAGGAATAATCCAGCACTAAAGGCGGTGGTCTGTAAATAGTCGTGTCAGACAATCCAGTGATCAACGATATGAGCATTGATCTACGCAATTGGGATACGACGACATGTGTCAACCAAGTCAGCGAACCTCACCATCCGATCCTGTTAGTCGCCTCTTATGACAAGCATGGGTTACTGAAGACCAATTCTAACCCGGATCTTCACGGGGGATCATGCCAAGGCCATTCCATATGTTTCAGTGGTTGTGCAGCAGTAATGTGACGACGATGTCAGTGTGTTACCCTCGTCTGCAGGATCTTCTGGCCTGTCAACAATCGAACATGTCTTAGACAAAATCGAGGCTGGTTTAAAATGTCTTCCACATCTTATAAACTGTGCAGGGCCTCTGACGTTGCTTTAGATACTGAATGTCATTTCTAAGAAGGTTCAACGGCATCTTTGAGGAAAACGCGTCATGCCTGAACCGAGGCAACAATGAAACGGTCTTGTTACTTGGAACACGTGACCTTGACCCGCTGCATGTGCCAAACATCTCATGGACGTTTGCTCATTTCACTTTGTGAACGTTTTCATTTCTTATTGAATAGCCCATGGGGCGGAAGAACAAATACAGTGAAGAATCCTTAATTCTGATTGGTCAACAACTGTGAATGCATGATCGATTATTGGTTGATGCGGTTTCACGCCGTACTGGTAAAACAATTTCCACATGGCTGTGATGTACAATAGTGACTTTACCAAGGAGTATTAACCTTGGTCTGTTTTCAAACATGTCTGTATGCCGCAGTGATGAAGAATTCACATCGTTAATAAGCATCAAAATCAAATTCTTACAAACAAAGCCATATTCAGTTCAAATAAATTTGTACTGTCACGACTGCACTGATCCAAAGCACTTTCCGTGCACTGGTTGCTTTTGTTATTGTACCCGGATGATATGCCAGAATTCTCGACTGGTTTGCGATCTCTGCTGTGCCACCCGCAAGCGCAATTAGTAGTATAAGTATACATTAATCAATAAAGGCGATAACGTTTTTACTCATTAATATTTCCATTTTCATTATGGTTAAAGCGTCCGCCCGGAGAGCGGAAGGTCACGGGTTCGATCCCCAACCGCGTCATACCAAAAGACGTTAAAATTTGGTACTTGTTGGTCCCTGCCTGTACACTATCCGTTTGTTGTGAATTTATAACATGACTGTAATATCTAAACATATTATAGACTACCATCCTCGATGATCTCCAGGGTATACGTTCCTATAAATCCCCACTATACCCTGGATGCATCTAAGGCTCGAGGCGATGATTTTATTACCTCCCTTGGTTGGCTTTTTATCCAATCAGGTGTCTATGCTGAGCGTACCTATCACAACTCACATTAGCTGTTTAAACTATATAACCGATTAAACATGGCAACACAATAATATATTGTTGCAGAGGTATTCTGAAAGAGGTAGAAGGAGTTCTTGCATATAATCTTTTTAAATATTTCAGACCTGCCAGTTTGTATGTTTTCCCCCAAATCTGAGTCGCACTGCGAACAAACTTTCGCGGCTGTGACCGCTATCTTTGTTGACACTGGCAAGCTCGGTGGTAACGGCGGCTTATCTGATTGGCTACTGTGAGAATGCGGAGCCAGCAAAGGGAGGTAATAAAATCATCGGCTCGAGCCGTAGATGCATCCAGTGTATTGTGGAGATTTATCGGAACGTATATAGAGATTATCGAGGAAGATAGATTACCAACGTCAATCATATTTCACACACACACACCCTAAGTGCGACCTTGCGTATGCTGACTGTCTCATTACACTTCACCCTGAAAACAATGATTAACCTCATCCTTAGATATACTTGTCATATCTATATTTTAGCAGTTTCAATTTCATGAGAGACCTATTGGAAAACGTAGATGTATCTCCCCACTGCTTCACTGACACAATAATACATGTATCTCTTAAGAAATCAAGAAGAGAAAGACCACAATATATACTTGTGAAAAAAACATCTTTATTTTCGTGACACTTGCGGCAGAATATATTCTATTTACATTCAAAATCTTTCTCTGAACAGAAAAGCACCATTCAGAGATGGCGCAACAATCATATTACAAAAACGTTTCACAGTCTGGTTAATCTTAAAGGTCACATGCAACGTAAAACACAACTTTGCAGATTCTGATACCTTTCGGTATGGACTTACCGAAACAAATCATCAAAAATGCAAATTCAACTTATAAAGTTAAAAAATAACGCGATGAAAAAAAACGCGCGAAATCGGAGTTCAAACGTTCCACTAATTTTCCCCCGACTTTTCTGGGGAAAACGGGTTTCAACAGCTGGGCTGCGCTCATAGCACGTGCGCAGTGAAATAGGTTCGCGCAGCTTGGAAGCGGGTTGTCGGGTGAATACTTGGTGAAGGCTTTGGTGTGAGCTATTTTTCTAATGTTTTGTTGATATCTCACAGGCGCGAGCTTTTTATATGTTATGACAGTAAATTAACTGTTTATATAATTTCACCACACGTTCTTCTTACCGAGTCACTTTCTCAGTTCGATACTTAAAAGCAATGTCATTATTTAGCGTTGACAGAATTTCTAACTGTGAAATAGATATGTCGTTGTCACAGACAAAACTCAATGTCTTGTTTTATTGACACCTGTGTGTCTGCCTGCCTGTCTGCTAATGACAATATTCAATACACAGCTGCTATCACTGACCACATGCAATTTGAACTCAACACCAATCAGGCTATACACCATAAACAAAAATGCATTGATTTATGGCCCAAGTTCGGTCTCTGTCACATTATGTAATTACAGACAGGCAGGTGTGATAGTTGAACACATGACATGTTATGATGTCTGTTGATTGCAAAATGTTATACACAAAAAATGAGCATGTATTTACAAAACCCAACATCTCTACATATACACACACAATAAGCCACGAGGGCATATGCAAATGAACCAGCCGATACACTTGAGTGCACACCCACCCGCTCTGACTGGGTTCGGTATCCCGGCTGCTTTGTTTCTTGCGAAGTAAACCCAAGTACACAATATTGCACTTTTGATTTGCGATTGCACGCTTATAATTTTGTTTATATGTTTTTTCATAACTAGCAATGTATATTATATGTCACGAATAAGTGATAATTGTGTTTTAATTATGTTTGATTTTTGGGTTGCATGTGACCTTTAACATTGCTTATAGTATATTTTGTGTTCACCTGAAGAAGGAGCAAGAAATAGCTCTGACATGTGATAAATAATAAACAGAAGTTGTTGTCCATAAAGCGTGTCACGTATACCTACCACTGTAGACTACAATCATCATACTGCCAAAACCAAACAATTTCAACAAAACATTTATGTTTCAACAACAAAATGACATCAATAAACCAAACTATTATAACCTACATTGTTTTCCATGAGTGTACCATTAAATATTTAGTGATAACTTCACAGTCTGGACTCATTGAAAACACAAAACCATGCCATTATCACCATATCTACAGCCTTCCATACAAAGACAACATCAGATATATAATCATGGCAATATTGGGATTAATAGTAAAAGAGCAATCTATGATGTATTTGAAATACACAGTATGAAAAGCTCAACTACAAATGGTTTCAAATAAAAAATGCTGAGTAAAAAGTGTTAGCATGACCCGCTGTTGGGTTTTGCTGCATGACGCTACCAGGGATGTCAAACACAACTTCGATGTTCCAGCAACAACCCAACAGCCAACCCTGTCACTTCTCAACAGACTGCAGATACTTCATTAATCAGTATTTCAGTATTAATCGTCAGTCCTTCTACATTCAAACATCTGTTCCAGAATCTGCCACGGGTAACCTGACTGGTGGCCTGTGTGCCAAGGTTCAGCGTGGTTGGCTGTGTGTTGCCACACGATATCGAAGTGTTTGACATCCCTTTGATCACCTTGCAACATTTGATTATAATTAGTCAAGTGGAAATATGTAGGAATTACTTTCCTCTTATTTCAGACATATGTGATTAATCAACAAACTTACATGGAAAGCCTTTTGCTATTTTTCAAAATGTATTTACAAATAGCCTAAATATCAACATGTGTTTATCAATAAAGAAAAAAAAATCAAAATATGGAAACAAGACAAAATAATTCAAAGCAAACAAATTTGGTTTGCTTCTAACTAAAATATTTCCATTCCTTACAAACGTTACAATTTGTAGGACCAATGACAGCCAATACATTGCAAGACGTAGCGACATGGAGCAAATAAACAACAACGGAAATGCCTGAACCTCTGTTAGTTTGAGCAGCTCAGGGTTACCTTCCCTCCAGGTGGAGCCCTCTACTGGCTTGTTCTGCAAGTGTAATGTTATAGCATCCCACTAACAGAACATTTCTTCTTCAACAGGCTTTGATACCCAAGGACCATATTTGTTTTCTTTGAATTTTTTCAGCATGGTGGACTTTGCTGTTTGGAAGTCCAGTGCCATCATCTTGGCCTTGTAGTAGGTTTCGGCCCCAAGGAGGTCACTGCGGCCAAACCTGGTAGCAACTTTCTTGAAACTATCGTACAGATTCTTTTTCGTAAGCCGAGAGAAAAAGCTTTTCTCAATTCTGAAACAGTAAAAACATTATCCATGTTGTAAAAACTGGCTGAAGATGAACACTGAAAGAAAGGTGACAGCATAACATTCTCTTATAATGACAGTCCCTGTACTCAATATCTATGATGAATGACACAGTAGTCATAGCCAATACTTACGCAGTATGACACAGTAGTCATAGCCAATACTTACGCAGTATGACACAGTAGTCATAGCCAATACTTACGCAGTATGACACAGTAGTCATAGCGATACTTACGCAGTATGACACAGTAGTCATAGCCGATACTTACGCAGTATGACACAGCAGTCATAGCGAAATCTTACGCAGTATGACACAGTAGTCATAGCCAATTCTTACATAGTATGACACAATAGTCATAGCCGATACTTACGCAGTATGACACAGTAGTCATAGCCCATAGCCCAAACTTACCCAGTATGACACAGTAGTCATAGCCGATACTTAGGCAGTATGACACAGTAGTCATAGCCAATACTTACGCAGTATGACACAGTAGTCATAGCCGATACTTACGCAGTATGACACAGTCATCATAGCCAATACTGTACGCAGTATGACACAGTAGTCATAGCCGATACTTACGCAGTATGACACAGTAGTCATAGCCAATACTTACATAGTATGACAGTAGTCATAGCCGATACTTACGCAGTATGACACAGTTGTCATAGCCAATACTTACGCAGTATGACACAGTAGTCATAGCCGATACTTACGCAGTATGACACAGTAGTCATAGCCAATACTTACGCAGTATGCCACAGTATGACACAGTAGTCATAGCTGATACTTACGCAGTATGACACAGTAGTCATAGCCAATACTTACGCAGTATGACACAGTAGTCATAGCCAATACTTACATAGTATGACACAGTAGTCATAGCCAATACTTTCACGCAGTATGACACAGTAGTCATAGCCAATACATACGCAGTATGACACAGTAGTCATAGCCAATACTTACATAGTATGACACAGTCGTCATAGCCAATACTTACATAGTATGACACAGTATGACACAGTAGTCATAGCCAATACTTACGCAGTATGACACAGTAGTCATAGCCGATACTTACGCAGTATGACACAGTCATCATAGCCAATACTTACGCAGTATGACACAGTAGTCATAGCGATACTTACGCAGTATGACACAGTAGTCATAGTCGATACTGACACTTACGCCAGTATGACACAGTAGTCGAGCATGACATTAAATAGCCACGCGAGTATGACATGACACAGTAGTCATAGCCAATACTTACATAGTATGACACAATAGTCATAGCCGATACTTACGCAGTATGACACAGTAGTCATAGCCCAAACTTACCCAGTATGACACAGTAGTCATAGCCGATACTTACGCAGTATGACACAGTAGTCATAGCCAATACTTACGCAGTATGACACAGTAGTCATAGCCGATACTTACGCAGTATGACACAGTCATCATAGCCAATACTTACGCAGTATGACACAGTAGTCATAGCCGATACTTACGCAGTATGACACAGTAGTCAAAGCCGATACTTAGGCAGTATGACACAGTAGTCATAGCCCAAACTTACCCAGTATGACACGGTAGTCATAGCCGATACTTATGCAGCATGACACAGTAGTCATAGCCAATACTTATGTAGTATGACACAGTATGACACAGTAGTCATAGCCGATACTTACGCAGTATGACACAGTCATCATAGCCAATACTTATGCAGTATGACACAGTCATCATGGTCAATACTTACGCAGTATGACACAGTAGTCATAGCCAATACTTACATAGTATGACACAGTAGTCATAGCCAATACTTACACAGTATGACACAGTCATCATGGTCAATACTTACGCAGTATGACACAGTAGTCATAGCCAATACTTACGCAGTATGACACAGTAGTCATAGCCAATACTCATATGGTATGACACAGTATGACACAGTAGTCATAGCTGATACTACGCTCACGCAGTATGACACAGTAGTCATAGCCAATACTTACGCAGTATGACACAGTAGTCATAGCCAATACTTACATAGTATGACACAGTCGTCATAGCCAATACTTACGCAGTATGACACAGTAGTCATAGCCAATACATACATAGTATGACACAGTAGTCATAGCCAATACTTATGTAGTATGACACAGTATGACACAGTAGTCATATGCAGCACATCACATAGGCAATATACATGACATAGTATGCATCAGTACATAGTAGCAGTATGACACATACTAGGCATGACACACAGCCATCATGTAGTCATGACGCAGTATGACACAGTCGTCATGGTCAATACTTACGCAGTATGACACAGTCGTCATGGTCAATACTTATGCAGTATGACACAGTCATCATGGTCAATACTTACGCAGTATGACACAGTAGTCATAGCCAATACTTACATAGTATGACACAGTAGTCATGGTCAATACTTATGCAGTATGACAGTCATCATGGTCAATACCACTATACTTTACACATAGTCATAACACTTACGACACGCATAGTATGACACTCATCGTAGTCAATAGCCACACGATGTTTGATGTTACTTCACGATGTTTTCCTTTGGTCAATACTTACACTGTATGACACTGTCCCCAAGTCAATACTTACGCAGTATGACACTTTCCTCGTAGTCAATACTTACGATGTTTGACACACTTCTTTCGGTCAATACTTACGTGGTATGACACAGTCATCAACTCAATACTGACATTGTATGACACTCTCCCCATAGTCAATACTAACGATGTTTGATGCACTTCCTTTGGTCAATACTCACGCAGTATGACACAGTCATCAACTCAATACTGACACTGTATGACACCGTTCTCTTGTCAACACTCACGCTGTATGACACAGTCCCAGCGGGCCGTCTAGGACTTCTGGTCTCGGGTCTCCCAGACACCAGTTGATGCTGAGAGACTTGGTCTTCTGTGTCTCCCGTGGGGGGTCACATGCTGTCACACGCCCCAGCCAGGGGTGGTTCAGATGGAACAATGGGGGGAGTAGGGTATCGATGGGGGGTTCCGATTTGTTGACACGGCAACACACAGCCCTTGCCAGGTGACCATGGTCATACAAGAATCCTGCAACAGATTCAGCAAAATTCAAATTCAAGAAACTGCCTCAAAAGTTGACAGTCAACTGCTACAGAAGTTGAATCTAGATTGGTTTTTCTGCCACACAGCCACTCACTAATGTAAATTAAAGTACTTGTGTCTGAAGGTCGTTCAGAGTATGGTAGGTGATGGATTTATGGGGAGACTTGGACCAAATGTATTTGCACCGAACACATCAACTGGTTCTAAACAAGGAGATCACGTGATGATTATGTACAAACTTGTTAACGGTACCTGCTGAAGATATTTGACAAAACTCTTAAAGGCCTCTCCAGTCAACTGTTGAAACTCTACCACAAATTTAATAGGAACATCAGAAATAGTATATTATGAGTCTTGCCTTGATTCTTGAGTATTTGCTAAGAAGGCAACAAAATTCTCCAATATCAGTAGCCAATTATTCAAAGTCAACTGCATTGTCATCTTCATGATCATTGTAATCACCAGTAATATCATGCATCAACACTTGTTGAAAAAGGTTACATCTCCTTGGCAGGCCTCAGAGTGCTCAACTTGTATTTATTGGTGCAGATATATTTGGTGGGCGAGATTCTCTATACTCTATACTGATACTATGACAAATAGCGTACACCAGAACTATAACAAAGAAATACAATCCAGAAAACACTCCTCGTGACATCTATTCACAAGGAATCAGACGATGCGAGGTTTCTTTATATATTGTATTATAAACAATGATGAATATACTGATCTCAATGTTCACTTACCAAGAGTAAGTGAGTCAAGATATATGGGTTCCAGGAAGTGAGACAACAGCGCCCCCTGCATGCCAACCACATTCCACCTGCAGATCTTGTCAGTACACGACATTGTCCGCAGTCTCTCGCCACGCTGGATCCCATCAAACGTCTGGGCCACGAAATCAGATTCAATTGGGATTGTACCTTCACCTGGCAACAAGAAGTTTCTGTGTCATAATGTTACTATGGCAATGACAATACTCTAACACAGTTCGAAAATTTAGACTTCAAATTAGTAGGTTTATCACCTATTTAAAACAAAAGTACAAACACAAAAGTGTTCAAACCACATCTTCATCGAAATACATCATTTTAACAAAATTGTTTCGACATGGTACTACAAGAACTATAACCGGCTGGGACAACAGATGATAAGTAGTTTTCTGAAAATGATCTAAATCCTTAACCATGGTAACAAAGGATGTCATGTGACATACCTCCCTCCATCTTGGTTCTCAGCAGGCCCTGCACGCCACTGGTGAAGGTCGGATGGTGTTGGCGGTCAAAGGTCTCACTGCCCCTGTTCGATACCGCATCCCTGTGAGTACAGAAGTCGGGGAAGTAGTTCAGTTGGTCAATCATATTTGCAATGGAATATATTCTAGAGTAAGAAACCATGAATCTGCTCAAGCTAAATATTATGAAATAAAAGAAACGAGTGTAAAAGAGTGTGTTTGGGTTTTTAAAACACTGTCAGCATTATTGAGTCATACCACCGTCTATCTCTCCCTTCAACTAGATGAACATTCAAAACAGAGGAGGCTATCTATAACCTTTGGTTAGTACTGACATAAAATCCCAGACACCAGTTAGTCATTCCAGACTTTTGTTTTGTTCTACAGGGCAGGATTTACATATAGTGCTGGGCACAGGTGAATTTGGTTTATGCTACAGACAGAAATGTCCTGTGGTAGACTGTCCAACAGTCACACTCAACTTGATCAGTCATCTAGACCACGTGTATTACCGCAAGATGCCCAATTCTCCGTCATTTCAGAAACAACCACTGTAGAGAGTTGCCATAGTTACCTGGGAGAAAAGAGGGCTCCATCTCCACATGGTGCTGTTGAGATGTACAGATGGAGGCTGATGCCCTGTTTGATCCGGAGTTTTCCGGTTTGACCCACTTCAAACAGGTCATGAGGACTGCTGGGGTCGTATGTCTCTAGCTGGGCATACAGGAACCTGGAAGACAAGAGCACTGGATCCTGTCAACATCGCACAGACCATTAACATGTCCAGCCAATACACAAACCTGCAGGTTGCACAAATAAACTTAATTGTGTGTTATCTGTTGGTGGCATGTATATCATACAACCCATTTTACTTTGTGTGTTGTTTCATCTTACTTTGCCCATGTCCCACAACGGTCTTCATCATTTTTCAAAACTTACAATATGAAATTCATAAGAAAGTAATTTTCGATTTGCAACACCAGTGAGATATATGATACATGAAATCTAGAAAACGTCCACCATGACAGCTCCCAGTGTTGCCTGGTGAGTGAGTGCTGCACCTGATGTAGCAGGAAGGTCAAATATTGGCCCCAGACAATGTACTCAAATGTGGATCTGAACCCAGGACTTGACAAACATGGCCACAACCCAACTGTCCACCATGTTTAACATACAGTAACGAGCAGAAAAAATGCGACTTTTCACAGACGTAGTTTTCAAAATTTATTTACTGATAACTTCAGTTATATTTTTCATACATCCACTCTGTGATACTGAAGTTTACATTTATGCAAGTCAATAGTCTGTTAGTCCACCGTTTCTCTCGATGCACTGCTGAATACGGCGTCCCATGCTGTCAATCAAATTGTCTATGTAGTCCTGGGGTAGGTCCACCCATATTTGACTGATGAGATTAGACCACTCAACGACACTCTTCGGTTCCAACTTTTCTAATTTGTCCTTCATAATCTGCCACACATTTTCAATTGGGTTCAGGTCTGGTGATGCCGCTGGAAATTTCTGTAAGGTCATGTGACTCGTTTCAAACCAGTTACAGGTGTGTCTTGACTTGTGTACAGGTGCATTGTCCTGTAAAAGTTTGAAAGGCATTCCACTCTGTCCTATATGGGATTCCACTATGCCTTCTTGTATTTGTTGAGAGTACTTGCTTGAATCCATCCTTCCTGTAATAGTTAGCAGCGGCATTACCCCGAGTTTGCCTATACCACCCCAAACCATGACACTGGGTGAGAACTTCGGAACCATTTTGCAGCTACGTCCACCTCTTGACCACCTCTTTCTTGTGATCCTATAAAACTGAAACATTGATTCGTCCGTAAAAATCACATTTGAAAAGTCTGTACCCTGCATTTCCCTGCACCACTCGAGCCTTTTCTCCATATGTGCTGTTGTCATCAATGGAACTTTCTTCGGCACTCGCTTGACATATCCAGATTGCTTTAAAGATCTTCTGATTGTCCATTCTGATACCTTAGGGACTCCTTGACTTTAAGCCTTCACGGCATGCTGTTTTGCAGACCAGTTTGGGTACGCCACCACGAGACGCGCTCGTCTGTCAATTGCCCCAAGAGTAGCACGATGTCCCGATCCAGCCTGTCGCTCTGTCCCTAACCCTGCGTCAAATTTCGTCAATTTTCGGTAAACAGAGGCCCGATGCAGTCCTGTCAGTTTCACAAGTCTAGTTACGGATGTAATACCTGCTTCATAATATGCCAAGAGTCGATTTCTGTTGTTTTGTAACGTCATGGCAAAGCTTCGGTATCGTCTGCTATTGTCTTCGGTATTGTCACGTGATCTAGCCATCCCTGAACCAAAGGGAGATAATTCCATACCAACGAGGCAAGCTACTGGCGGCTAGAAACAATGTATTTCGGCCTTTTTGATAGTAGGATCGAGTCTACAGAATAAAGTTTTTGTCGCATTTTTTCTGCTTGTTACTATATGTGTGTGGATACAGTCATGACATGTCACTGACCTCAGGAATCCTCGTCTGGTGATGATCTCAGCATGACAGTCATTTACTGTGTTGCCTTCCAGACTCAACTGTTGCCCTGTGATACACCGGTTGCCTGGCAACACATTCATGTGAGAAATATATATTATATACACTAATACCTTGTTCTGCATATATATTTATACAAGCATATGTTAGTATTGTGCTGGCTAAACAATATGCCTGGGCATTGTACTGAATACTGATATCACCAATATTGTATTGCCTATATTTATGGAGCAACATATGCTGATATCATCAATATTGTATTGCCTATATTGAAGGAGCAACATATGCTGATATCATCAATATTGTGTTGCCTTTATTTAAGGAGCAACATATGCTGATATCATCAATATTGTATTGCCTATATTTATGGAGCAACATATGCTGATATCATCAATATTGTGTTGCCTATATTTATGGAGCAACATATGCTGATATCATCAATATTGTGTTGCCTTTATTTAAGGAGCAACATATGCTGATATCATCAATATTGTGTTGCCTATATTTATGGAGCAACATATGCTGATATCATCAATATTGTGTTGCCTATATTTATGGAGCAACATATGCTGATATCATCAATATTGTGTTGCCTATATTTAAGGAGCAACATATGCTGATATCATCAATATTGTGTTGCCTATATTTAAGGAGCAACATATGCTGATATCATTAATATTGTATTGCCTATATTGAAGGAGCAACAAATGCTGATATCATCAATATTGTGTTGCCTATATTTATGGAGCAACATATGCTGATATCATCAATATTGTGTTGCCTATATTTATGGAGCAACAAATGCTGATATCATCAATATTGTGTTGCCTATATTTATGGAGCAACATATGCTGATATCATCAATATTGTGTTGCCTATATTTATGGAGCAACAAATGCTGATATCATCAATATTGTGTTGCCTATATTTATGGAGCAACAATGCTGATATCATCAATATTGTGTTGCCTATATTTAAGGAGCAACATATGCTGATATCATCAATATTGTGTTGCCTATATTTATGGAGCAACAAATGCTGATATCATCAATATTGTGTTGCCTATATTTATGGAGCAACATATGCTGATATCATCAATATTGTGTTGCCTATATTTATTGAGCAACAAATGCTGATATCATCAATACTGTGTTGCCTATATTTATGGAGCAACATATGCTGATATCATCAATATTGTGTTGCCTTTATTAAAGGAGCAACATATGCTGATATCATCAATATTGTGTTGCCTATATTTATGGAGCAACATATGCTGATATCATCAATATTGTGTTGCCTATATTTAAGGAGCAACATATGCTGATATCATCAATATTGTGTTGCCTATATTTAAGGAGCAACATATGCTGATATCATCAATATTGTGTTGCCTATATTTATGGAGCAACATATGCTGATATCATCAATATTGTGTTGCCTATATTTATGGAGCAACAAATGCTGATATCATCAATATTGTGTTGCCTATATTTAAGGAGCAACATATGCTGATATCATCAATATTGTGTTGCCTATATTTATGGAGCAACATATGCTGATATCATCAATATTGTGTTGCCTATATTTATGGAGCAACATATGCTGATATCATCAATATTGTGTTGCCTATATTTATGGAGCAACATATGCTGATATCATCAATATTGTGTTGCCTATATTTAAGGAGCAACATATGCTGATATCATCAATATTGTATTGCCTATATTTATGGAGCAACATATGCTGATATCATCAATATTGTGTTGCCTATATTTATGGAGCAACATATGCTGATATCATCAATATTGTATTGTTGCCTATATTTATGGAGCAACATATGCTGATATCATCAATATTGTGTTGCCTATATTTAAGGAGCAACATATGCTGATATCATTAATATTGTATTGCCTATATTGAAGGAGCAACAAATGCTGATATCATCAATATTGTGTTGCCTATATTTATGGAGCAGCATATGCTGATATCATCAATATTGTGTTGCCTATATTTATGGAACAACATATGCTGATATCATCAATATTGTATTGCCTAAATTTATGGAGCAGCATATGCTGATATTATCAATATTGTATTGCCTATATTTATGGAGCAACATATGCTGATATCATTCATATGGTATTGCCTATATTTATGGAGCAACATATGCTGATATCATCAATATTGTGTTGCCTATATATGTCTCTGCACTATGATGCCCAGATACACTCAGATGCTTGTCTGCAATAATTGCTACACGTTTAACGAACCAAGCCATGGTTAGGAAAGGGGTGTGAAAGATTAGTTGGGAAAATAATAGCTAAAAATTGTCCCAATTTACATGTCACCTGAACCAATGCTGATGACTCACCTGAACCAATCCTGATGACTCACCTGAACCAATGCTGATGACTCACCTGAACCAATCCTGATGACTCACCTGAACCAATGCTGATGAACCAATCCTGATGACTCACCTGAACCAATGCTGATGACTCACCTGAACCAATGCTGATGACGATGCCAGTATCCTCTGGGTTCCTCTTCATCACAAGGCCAGCAATGATCTTGCGTCCAGCCAGAGTGTCCGGTATGGTGGCGATCAGCTGGTTGAAGGCCTGGTGTGTCAGAGCAGCTATCTTGTCGAAGTGTGTCATTGTCAACGAGGGAACCAGCATCATGTCCACCTGTCAAAATCATACAGACTGACACATTCCAGGTAAAATGGTCACAGGCTGAATGAACTAGAGCAGTTCTTTCTGTCAGTAGTCAGAGCTAATCTATAGAAAGACAAACCTCACTAACAGCATTGATGAGGTCTGGTACTGGTGGATTAACAATACTACCTCTGTAAGTCAAACAGGGGTTTATATTGTGGATCATTGTCAGTTGCAATACTTAAAACGCTGTGCAATAACAAGTGCAACTAACGAGCAATATCATCAAGGCAACTTGTTCAACAGTTTGATAGCAACAATATCATCACTGCAACTTGCTGGAGCCTAACGAGTCTGATAGCAACAATATCATCAGCTGGCAACTTGTTCAGCAACAATATCATCACTGCAACTCAGCTGAGCCAAATCATCAAAACAGCCAGTGTCTGATAGCAACAATATCGTCATGGCAACTTGTTCAGCTGAGCCAAATCATCAAAACAGCCAGAGTCTGATAGCAACAATATCGTCATGGCAACTTGTTCAGCTGAGCACAAATCATCAAAACAGCCAGTGTCTGATAGCAACAATATAATCATGGTAACTTGTTCAGCTGAGCCAAATCATCAAAACAGCCAGAGTCTGATAGCAACAATATCGTCATGGCAACGTTTTCAGCTGAGCACAAATCATCAAAACCGCCAGAGTCTGATAGCAACAATATCGTCATGGCAACTTGCTAAAATGACAACTCACCAACATTGCCAGCGTCTGATGGCAAAAATATCGTTATGGTAGCTTGCTAACAGTAACATGACAACTCACTGATTTGGCCTGAGTCTTTTGACCTTCTGCCAGCAATATCCGCATTGCGACATCTGCTGCTTCCTTCTTCCCATCCTTCTTGTTGCTGCACTCAACCCCCGGGAACTGGCGGGACCCAACAAACGCTGCCAGCACAAACCTACACGACATACAGATCAAGTACTTCATTGTCAGTACCAATAGAAGTGACAAAACCCTTTCCACCTTCATAAGAAATATCTGCTAAAAGCAGAATCGATTGTACAGTTGTGACCTTATCATGAGCATATATATGTTTCAGCAGTTTACAGCTGTACAATGTTGTTTGTAAACAAATCGAGTCAGGGTGTTACATGATGCACAAATGTGTGTCCAGTACGCACAAATGTAGAGAATGCATGCAGAAACAAACTTCACTGCATCCCGAGGGACACACAATGCCATTCACTGTGCCACAACACATCTAGGACCTCGCTATGTGTTTGGTGGGGTTTTCATATCAGTTATATGCATCATTTCATCCCTCAGTCCACATGATTAATGATTCTTTCCAGGCTCAAAAGAAATTATCAAAATGTACAGTTCTCTACACTGTTACTTCACAGGACCGTCATATTACTTTCAAGGACGCTTAAAACTAATAATTAGACCCCCATGTTTTTGAGTAGATGGAATAACAATGAAACCAAGGTGCCCCACCGGTGGTACCTGTCATAATCATATACAAAGTCTATTCAATTGTTCACCTGAAATATGGAAGTATGGTACAAGTCAACGCTGATGTACAAATGCCTTACTTCACTGTCAGACCTACACAACATACAGACATATATGTATATGCACTCACTTTGGTTTGTGGGAAGGACCCCGTTGGCTGATGACCTCAATCCTGGCTGTAGATTGCCGTGACTGCGCATACTCCATCAGGGCACTCACGGGGTTCTTGTTGACACCCGCGAACGTCTCTGCTGTGATTTCTAAAGTGCCACACGGAAGACTGTTTAAGCCTCCAGCCAGACTAGGAACAGATGCAACGCCACCTGGTGATCTGGTCGGAAGTGATTGTGGTCCAGTTGATGATTCTGTCATCCACGGTGACATTGGATCATGACTTCCTCTTGGAACAAAGCTGTGCGAGGGACCGGATGAGATGACTTGGCTTTGTTCCTGTTGGATAAGGTCCATGGGAGTCCGTGGCAAGGATCTTGCACCGGACTGGGATATGGCTGCCTGCTGCTGCTGGAATGAAGGTGAAGAACGTTGTGGCTGGCCCTGTGATACAAGCGACAAACTTCCTGTTATAGTGTGGGAAGACACACCTGGATAAGACCCAGCTGATCCTTGTGATGACGAACCCACATCCCTCATGTTGTATGACATGACTGGACGCTGGTTACAGGCACCCTGGTCAGACAAACCACCTGGTCTTATCTGCCATCTGGAACCCATCTGTGGACCTCCATCGATCTGGCCAATGACAGAGTCAGCTCCCAGGCTTGTCAGCATGGTTGGAGACTTGCTTGCATGCTGCTTAGTGACCCCTTGGATGTCTGCAGCTATTGTTGCCAGAATTTGACCCCTGCCCGCCCCCTTCACCCCATATTGAGTGTCAGACCCTAACAGTTCCAACGGAGACAGAGGAAGCCCTTGAGTAGCTCCTTTCATGGATGGGTGACAGATGTTCATCTTCCCTCGAGCAACATTTGGTTGCGATTTCTTCACCGGCCCAGATAAACCTTTCGCTTCCAGATACTGATCTCCTTTTGATGTCACCGTCCAGGCTGAGCCAGTTCGAGCCACCAGTTTCTCCTCTAACAGATCCTGCAGGGCTGCTTCTACAGGCTTCTTGCTTGATTTCAGAGCACTGACGATAATCAAACTAGCTCCAGTTTTCAACAGACGATTTCCTAGGGTTTTTAACACAAGGTCCCTGAAACACAGCTCAGTATCTGGGGATTCTGATTCTCTAACAGGGATGGGTGGTCTGGAGACCATGTTTTCGTCAGATTTGTCTGCTAAATCTGGATCTGAACTCTGAGAGTCAACAGTTCCTGGCGACAAAGCCATATATTGATAGTTGCTTTGACTGTTGGCAATCAGATCATTCATTCTGTCATTGATGTCAAAGGATTCATCTTCTATGTCATCATAGTCCTCCATCTCTGACCTGTCATCTTCTTCTTCATCATCTCCCTCAACACAACCCGGTACCAACTGCTGCTGAGAAGGGGATTCCAGGCCTTGATACAAAGTCTCATCCACCTTCCTTGGCGTGAAGGATTCTCCTAACCACGTACCTTCATCAGCCCGCTTTCTGCTACCTATGACCATTTCACCAAATCCTCCCGTAAAATCCATCGAAGATGATTCTACATGTGTCTGACCAATACTACCAACTGCCATTCCATTCTGGGAAATTTCTCCAAGCTTCATAGCATCCATTGTAGTCAACATTTCTGAAGGAACTGGACTCACCCTGGCATTAGGAATGAGATACCAAAGAATTGGGGAACCCTTGATGAACCGAACCACTCTCCTCTGGGACAGCATATACAGGGTCGGGTTCACTTCCCGAGGTGTTCCATAGCCACAGGCTCTCGCAATATCCATAGCCTTCTGTGGTTTGCTGCCACACTTTTTCAAATATGCCAAAATGCTGTCCACACGCTCTCTGCTTAAAGGATTTTGCACTTTGCCTTCACGGTGCGACTGAAAAGTAGAAAAAATATAGAGAGAAATATATTGATCTACCTGTGTGTATACCTACCTACACACATATCTAAGTATTTACCTCCACTTATCCACCCTCCCACCTGTATACCTACCTACACACATATCTAAGTATTTACCTCCACTTCTCCACCCTCCCACCTGTATACCTACCTACACACATATCTAAGTATTTACCTCCACTTCTCCACCCTCCCACCTGTATACCTACCTACACACATATCTAAGTATTTACCTCCACTTCTCCACCCTCCCACCTGTATTACCTACACACATATCTAAGTATTTACCTCCACTTCTCCACCCTCCCACCTGTATACCTACGTACATACATATCTAAGTATTTACCTCCACTGAATGACATACCCATACACCCAGGTGTTCGAGAAGCACATTCACAGACAAAGTTATTTATTCATTAAGCTGTACTGTGCGGTCTCCATCCTTTCTCGAACACCTGGCTGTCCCTTTCTCTGCACTCCTTCCTCGTAACAAACAGTGAACTGGGTCAATATTTTAATGATAGATTGTTAAACAACTTTTTTATTTTAAGGACAAACATTCAGCAAAAACCTCACAGAGTTGGTATGATGTTTTGATTATGATCAGCGTTTCATTGAGTATTTTATGTTTATTAGTTTTCGAGTTAGATTGCAATTCATCGGTCCGCTTTTGAGCCAAACGGACTATATATATCAGCTGGTATATATCATACAACTTGCAACCCAACTATTCAAAATAGTTCCATAGGAGTGTAGGGCCGCGATCGGGTTCACCAGTCTTGATCGACATTGCTCCACATCGCCTGCAATTTACAGGATCACGTCTCGTCTGTCCATGATACACTCAAACACAAACCCAGGCCATTGCAGCATTTATACCTGAAACTGATGTCTCCGTCCCCGTCCCCGTCCCCGTCCACGCCCCCGGCTTCGGCCACGACGACCACCACGCCCTGTCATTTTACAAACGGAATGGAGCCCAATTCACTGGTAACCTTTCTTGGAAATTCAAACTGAAACTGAAAGAGAAAGTAGAATATAGTCTAGATAGACGTAAATGTTAATGATGATTATTAACATGGTTCGCATAATTAAACATAAACAAGTAGTCCAGCAATCAGTCTACCTGTAATTAAAACACTGTTGATCATTACTCTGCAGTACGTCCCGTATCTTCCCCGAATTGTGTATTTGCGACGAAGGACTCAAACCACGCCGCCATGTTTTGAAGATATTTATTCACTTCCGGGGAATTCCCTGTTTGAGCATGTTACTATAAATAGTCACGATCACGTTTGGACATGTCTTGTCTGAATCACATCATGAACATAACAAAATATTTCAAAGCGCCATGATTTAGTTTTGTCTACTCGATACATTATTGTTACCGAATAATCAGATATAATAAATGAAGACACCTATAACAGTGTTTGTGTTTCATGTTATCCTGACTTAACAAATACATACACATTGGCGAATCCAGAGGAGGGGTTCAGGGGTTTCGACACCCCCCCCCCCCCTTTTTCGAAAATGACTTAAAACCACATTGAAGTAATGTTTTACATTGGCGGAGCCGAGGAGGGGTTCAGTGGGTTCGAACCAACACCCACACACCCACACCCCCACACCTCCCCCCATCCTTTTGAAAGTTCCTGGATCCGCCTCTGATACAGTATATAGGCGCATAATATTACAACGTTCAAAATGGAAAATCATAACTTTTAACCATATTGCCACATGTTTGTTTCTTCACCCAGCAATAAGTTATAAGTAAATGATTGGGTCTGGACCAGACAGTCCAGTGACTGATCGATACTGTGAACAAAGATCCAACCCGCTGGGGATGGGTGACGCCCAAACCAAGCCACCGGGCCTGTCTCCCGATCCAATAAACCAAATAATACTCTTCCGACAAACACAGGCTGTTTGGGACCAGTTCGGAAACCGGAATCCCATGTAACGGTACAGGCACAGGGGCGTGTCACGCTAAGAAACAGCGTTTGAAAGACATATAGGTATATAGACCCTATATGTCTTTCTAACGCTGTTTCTAAGTGTGACACGCCCCTGTGGGTACAGGAGCTCACCTTCATTAGGTATGTGTGTGCGTGCGTGCGCGCGCATAAATCACGAAGTCCAAAGGTGAGGGGAAAAGCACACTCTTTCTGTTTGACCTCACAATAGTTTGGTTAAGACAGTACACTTAGTCCGTGTTAAACGTAGAGGTCCACTGGGGTTAGTCAGTAACAGAACTAGGCGTCACTACAAATTAAAGGCAGTATATATATATAAGAAGGCAAGAATTTTATGGATGTCAATTTCTTTATTGTGGAAGTTGACATCCATAAAATTATTGCCTTCATGTGTATCACCTCGGTCGCGTACTGATCCGTCGAATTTCTGATTTCAAATTAGTAAAATGCATTCGACGGATGAGCACTGTGATCTTAGCTATTAATTAGTTATCCAAACACTGGATCATACCCAAAACATGATGCAAGGGGTGTTGGATGGTTTGACTCTCTTTATTTGTGTACTGTTGTACCTATCTTTGCCTACTCATGTGGGCAGAATTTTTATTTTTTGTGTTCAGTTCTAAATACCCTTCAAAGACGGTATATATATATATATATATATATAGTGTTATGCAATAGAGATAGAACATTCCAGAACACCCCAACCAATCACTGAACGTCTATAGATACAATGTATTACATTGTTAACAGAGCGCTCTCCCACTGATACCTGCTGGCTGACCACGTGAACTGTGTGATGCCATACTCTGGTGACTGGCGAAGATGTTGAGTTGAAATGTGGAGCGATTCTGCCCGTGACCGTCTTTCAGGGAGAAGTCACAGCCTCTGACGAGACGAGTGTTGAAATGACTCTAAATATTGCTCGTTCGATATCCTATTAATTCAGGTAACCCTTTCTTCATTAAATCGCACCTTTGCTTTGATGTCGTGTTGTTCTTTTGTTTGGAGTTCCGAATGTTGTTTTCTATTTCTTTTCCATGGTTATGCTGCACATGCTCATATAGGATGACTCTACTGTGTTTGGATGTTTGACCCGAACTTAAATTGAGTCAGTGAGTGTGGTTTTATGCCGCTTTTAGCAATATTCCAGCAATATAACGGCGGGGGACAAAAGAAATAGGCTTCACTGCATTGTACCCATATATTGCTGGAATATTGCTGAGTGCAACCAACCAACCAACCAACGATTTGACGCTATTTATAACTACCTGTTTTATCGGATATGTTTTGTCATTTCCGACAGGCACACGGCAAGTACACATATTTCCCGTTTTATTATAAAGGGTTATTTTATTTACAGTTTGGAAAACGTAATGGATCTATACACTTTTTATATAATTTCTTCTTCTTTTTTAAATTCATATCTCCATACGAGCATTGCCACTTGCATGTGAAATCGTCCAGTTCAGAAAGCGAGTGAGTGAGTAAGCTATGCTTTGTGTCAGCACAGTGGCGGGTCGGGGGGTCAGGGGGTTCGACCCCCCTTTTGAAAATGACTTAAGACCACATTGATTTTTTTTGCGAAAACCCCCCCACCCCCTTTTCAAAATTCCTGGATCCGCCCATGCAGCACAATGTGGAATGTAAGCCGAGTGTCATCAGCTTTGGTGAATCACACGAGAACTTGTATAGTGCTGACAATCAACGGGCCATAATCCGGGAAACTATCCGAACAAACAATCATCGGATCTCGTCACTTCAAAAGGATGCAACACTGCATATAGCGATCTGCTGAGCCACAGGGATACGCACTGATCGTGAGAGACAGATGACGAAAAAGGGATGGCCTAAAAGTCGGGCCAAGAAAAGTCGGGCTGGGCCGGGCCACCGGGTAATACTAAAAAATGGATTGCAGAATATTAAAACGAAACCTGCACATTTGGGTCGATACACTTCCCGCCTTCACAAATGCATAGTTTGATTGAAAATGTATAGTTAATGGGGAAAAGACCAACACAACAACAAAGTCTACATACCGAGATTCCCATAGAAAAGACACCGTCTTGTTGTTATGTGTTTTCCTTGATATGTCTATGAGGGAAGGCTGCTTACTTCTCTTAGCGTGTGACATCCTGGGGTCCTGGGCAGGAAGTGACAGTGTCTTGACTGCTTTTCTTTCCTTAATTAAGATATTAGGGTTCCCTAATTAACCTTTATTGTCTCAGGCTGAATCAGCACAGGATGTTTATGTTAAAGAGACGTGGATATCGGCGAATGTCAACCGGCAAATATGACATGATTATGTATATTAAAAGAAATATTTGAAATAACAAACTTTTGTAACATGCTATAAAGGATCAAACAAAGTATGCATTCACAAACACAAAAATTCTTATGTGTTTTCATTGTAAACAATACCAGCACAAATCCGATAGCCAGCGCGTATGCATATGCTTATATTTACTAATACACATGAAACACAAAATAGTATTATATCTACCTAAATACCACTTCATAAAGTGAAGTAAAAGTGAAGCCCCTTTCTCTCTCCATTCCCAGCGATTTAGGAAAATAATGTCTTCGGAAAACAAAATCCGCAATCAAAAGTGTTTAGTTTCTGTTCGGTCCGACTTAGCCAGTGATGTCAAAAACAACTTAAACGTCACACGTGTATCTTGAAATGTGTTTATATCCATAGATTAGTAATATATCTACCTAAATATCACTTCACAGAGTCTCAAAGCGTAGTATTTGAAGCAAATACCTTGCTCAAAGTGAAGCCCTATTTTCTATACATTCTCAACAAAGACACAGTATCACAAGTCTTCGGTCCGGCTTGGCCCGGGCGCTCAAACGCACCTTATACCTCAAAGATGTATCCTGATTTGTGTTTAAATCCATAGATAAGTATTATATCTACCTAACTATCAATGTGTGATGTTACAAAATGCCACATGTAAAGATAACTTTGTGAAGCCCTTTTCTCTCTCCATTCACAATATAGTCTCAATCAAAAGTGTTTAGTCTCTGTTCAGCCCGACTTGGCCCGTGCTGTCAAAAACACCCTAAACCTCACACATGTATCTTGAAATGTGTTTATATCCATAGATTAGTGTTATATCTACCTAAATATCGCCGTGTGATGTTACAACATGCCACATGTAAAGATAACTGCTCCGTTAAAGTGAAGCCCTTTTCTCTCTCCATTCACAATATAGTCTCAATCAAAAGTGTTTAGTCTCTGTTCAGCCCGACTTGGCCCGTGCTGTCAAAACACATTAAACCTCACACATGTATCTTGGAAATGTGTTTATATCCATAGATTAGAGTTATATCTACCTAAATATCAATGTTATGATGTTACAAAGCGCCACATGTAAAGATAACTGCTCCGTGAAAGTGAAGCTCTATTTTCTCATTATTCTCAACAAATAGTCTCATCAAAAGTGTTCGGTACGCCCCGACTTGGCCAGTGCTCTCAAAACAAACTTAAACCCACACATGTATCTCTGAAATGTGTTTAATCCATAGATTAGTATTATATCTATCTAAATATCAATATGTGATGTTACAAAATGCCACATGTAAAAAAAACTGGTTTATTAAAGTGAAGCCCTTTCGTCTCTCCATTCACAATATAGCCTCAATCAAAAGTGTTTAGTCTCTGTTCAGCCCGACTTGGCCCGTGCTGTCAAAAAACACCTTAAACCTCACACATGTAGCTTGAAATGTGTTTATATCCATAGATTAGTATTATATCTACCTAAATATCAATGTGTGATGTTACAAAATGCCACATGTAAAGATAACTGCACCGTTAAAGTGAAGCCCTTGTCTCTCATTTTTCAACATAGTCTCAATCAAAAGTGTTTTGTCTCTGTTTGGCCCGACTTGGCCCGTGCTCTCAAAAACAACTTAAACATCACACGTGTATCTTGAAATGTGTTTAAATCCATAGATTAGTATTATATCAACCTACATATCACTTCACAGAGTCTAGAAGCGTAGTATTTGAAGCAAATACCTTGCTCAAAGTGAAGCCCTTTTTTTTTTATACATTCTCAACAAAGACACAGTATCACAAGTCTTCGGTCCGGCTTGGCCCGGGCGCTCAAACGCACCTTATACCTCAAAGATGTATCCTGATTTGTGTTTAAATCCATAGATTAGTATTATATCTACCTAAATATCAATATGTGATGTTACAAAATGCCACATGTAAAGATAACTGGTTCGTTAAAGTGAAGCCCTTT